CCTAATCTCTGTGTACAGGCTTGTTGAGGCACATATCCATTTTTTCCTCAGGAAAAATCAGGGAGTTGCATACTTAGGGCCAGCTTTAGACCTAATAAAAGAGCTTCTGAGCATTTCCTCACCTGTTTTTTTGGGAGCATGGATTCCAGGGGATCCATTTATCAGCTCTCCGAGAGGAGAAGAGGAAGGAAGCCCAACGGCTTCAGGTTCTGTTCACAGCTGGGTCTGGTTCCTGCTGTAGGATTTCAGCTTAATTGATTTGAATATTTCCAACACAAAAATGTGTATTTCTATGCTCATAACCACCCCAAAAGTTTTCTGGACTGACCTAAAAGTCCATCCACAGGGGAATAATGAAAACACTGGTGGTGTGTGGACGGAGATCATCACTGTTTCACATCAGCACACTGCACACTTCCCACCCAGATGTCCCAATACCACTTGCATTGGGAAAAGACCCCAAATGTCCCTGCAGTGGGGTCTTTCAGCCCCTCTATTCTATTTTAGAAAGGACTGTACTATGAGGGATGGAGTAGCAGTACTGTCACTGCACTTCTTTAAAACTTGTGGGTTTAGTTTAACTTCAAGTTTTGAGAAGCAAAAGAGACCTGCAGTTTTCAAAGTCCCTGTATTAAGTGAACAACTCTATTTCAGATGATGGAGAAGCTGAGGGTTTAATGTCAGAACAGGGCTTAGGGTTATCTTGCTCTGGGGTCGTGGGTCAAGTGCTTTTTTTTATTGTCAGCCTAATTTTGTAGTGGAATATGTAGGACAGGGGGGAAAAAATATCCAAGCACTACAGGGAGTTGATAGATCGTTCATGTTTTAGCTGAGACTCCAATATGCATGGGGTTGGCTTCCTCAGCACTTTATCTCTGGGAAAATTGTAATATGTGGTGTTCCTGGATATTAAATGCATTGATTTTGCTGAAGGATATGAAGAAGAGTGAGGGGGATGCAGTGATTCAGTTTTGGAGGTGAGCACTGGTCCTCCTGGGCTGTATTCCCAGAGCAACTGCAACTGATTCCGGTGACCTTGGAGCAGTCAGCAGGAGCCTGGCTCTACCCTGGAGAGTGAGTGTGTAAAAATGGCATTTCCTACTCAGCAGATCTGGTCTCTGTGCGCTCTCCAAGCCACATCTGCTGACTTTAGTGACAAAAATAAGTTTTTACTGCTTTCCTGCTCTGTGGGCACTTCAGAATCACGAGAGCTGGGGAAGCAGAAGCTGGATCCCGTGCCCCCTTTTAGGACTGATTACTGTGAATCCCTGGCAACAGTGAGGCTGTACTGGCACCTCTTGGCCTTGCCCAGCTTTCCTCTTAGTGCTAGCAGTGAGGAACATGGACAAAAGGAATCCAGGTTGATTCTCCTGATTGAGATTTAATTGCAGATGGAATTTATTGAGTTTGCAGCTGCAGGACAAAGAAAACTGTTCATCCGTTACATGATTATATTTGAAATAATTCATTGGCCACAAACTTTCTGATACCTTTTTCAAAGTGGACTTGTTTTAAACAAATTTTCCTCTCAGTGCTGTTCTCACTTCCCCTGAATTAGACTCAATGTTACTCCATTGCAGTGACTGCTCTTCAGTGGGAAGAGCAGGCCCCTTAAAACAGATGCTGCCAGCTGGTGTAAAGGTGAATGGTGTGATGGGGATGTGCACTAATTTGTGTGCTGGATGTCCCAAATATTCACTTTGGGAAAGTTATTCAGCAGCAAAATTAACGGTAACTATTTTAAAATTGCCTTTACCTTCTGTGGCATGCCCTGACATACTTAGGAGAGCTGGTACATCTCAGCACAGGTGCCAGGAGTAGCAGCATAAGGTGCAACATTCTGATGTCAGGATGATTTTTTAGTTAAATTTAATGTGCCTTCATATAAATTTTTATGTGACTCAGTCTCTTAATTAGGACAAACTTTTTGGTTTGTGCAACAAGGGTGTGACAGGAATATCACCTTTAAAGGAAAGCTGATGTATTATTCCTTTGCACAACAGTCTCCTGTCATAATAATACACAGATTTTATAAGGGACTCTTACAAAAATTAGGTTATTTCCATTTTACAGAAGGGGTAGTAGAGGCAGAGAGTGGTGAAGCTCAGTTTTGAAAGTCTTCTTATGAGGCAGAGCTGGGAATGGGACATGATTCCGACTCTTTCCCAGCTACACTACCCGCATGGAAGAATAAACCAGCTTACATCTGAATTTAGTCCCTGAACTCACCTGAGGTGAGAGATCTTGAAGGACAAGACCAACAGAGGATTGCACAGAAATGTCTCAAACCAGAGCCAGGGCAAGAAGGGAAAGGAATGGATGTTTCTTAACTTGCCATGGGCTGCTTTTGCTTGGTTACTTATATGCTCTCTGGCCACAGATCTGAGTTAAAAATCAGTATTTCCAATTACTAAACCATAGAAATGAATAACAAAAGAATGCTCTCTGGTGATTTCTGATTTCTGCTGTTTCCATCACACCTCCTTTTTTAAGTCTGCAGATATTTTTGTTGATAACGCAGAAGCCTCTGATTTTGGCAGGTTATGCGGGGTAGAGAAACTTGCAGCATACGGGGAATATGCAATTTTAGGCAGGGAAAAAACACAGATAACCAGCTATTTTGGTTACAGTGATTATCAGTGAAATATATAACCTTGAGAGGACACGATGCCAATCTGGGTTCAGAGTCAAGGGGGAAGTGAAACCCTCTCCAGTCTTTTAAGTGCTCTGCACCCTTAGAGAACAGTAGAGCATCCCTTACACATGCTTTACATTTTAAATAACTTTTCCGTTAATTTTAAAGGTTAGATAGAAAAGGGGTTGAAAACAGCATCATGGAATCATGGACTGGTTTGGCTTGGAGGGGACCTTAGAGATCATCTCATTCCAAACCCCCTGCCATGGGCAGGGACATCTTCCACTAGAAAATCTGGATGCCAGGTCAGCTGTTAGGGGTGAATTGTGCAGCTGCTGGAGCCAAGCCTCTGGCTCGAGCCTGGTGGACTCACTGCCCAGGGCTCTGATTTCTGGTGGGAGATGTCTCTGTTATCCTGCCCCTCTCCTTGCACATGGACGACTGAGCAGCTTGGGAATCAATCCCGGACCCACCACAACGTCCAGCTGCATAGAAAATAAGCCCTCGCTGATTTTGGTTTCCTGCACAATCTGGCTGCACCATTAACTTCAAAAGTGGCACCTCCATTCCCTCTGCTCAGCCAGAGCCCTTGGCCAAAATGAAATGGCCAGAAGAGAAGCTGAACCTGCTGAGAGTTTTAAGGGTCCCTAATTCAGGAGTCAAGGGTGTTCAAAATGGCCCCAAAAATGCAGCTCTTACCTCTTCCTTCCCCCCTGCTCCATCTCCCTTAGAGGAGAGAGTAAACATCCTTTCTTTTCACATATTTGTATTTCATTTCAAAAGCTGGTGCAGCACTAAAAATATTGATTAATGAATAATTTCCTCAGATTTTACAACTCATAGGGGCAAAGCCAGAAGTGATTTTTCCCAACATTTTTTCTGACTATTTGCTCCATCAAACCCAACTCTGAAGTTCTTTCTTATGCCTCTTGCCAGTGATTGTCTTTACTGCTGATACAGGCACTTTGACACTTTATTTTCATCTCATGCAGAGCTTAGCAATATTACCCGGAAAAAAATTGCCCTGACCCGCAACAAATCTGTCTTTTGAAACTTTTAATATTGGATGCACAATGCTACAATCAAATGAATTGGGCTGGATCCAGTTTGGTTGAAATCCAGCAGAAAACACACCGTTTCCCTAAAATTGAAGAGGTAAAACCTTAGAGTGTGTTTAGCACAGAGAGCAAACCACTAATATAAATGTTGTTTCTAGTAGCAGAGCAAACAGAAAAAATAATGAACAATTTCTTGAGGAGGAATATCTCATTTTCTTTGATCAATTATGTTGTTTGTTTAAAGAGCTGAGTGACACGTACCAGCAGGTTACATCTCCCTTTGTCTGGGGAAAAAAAAAAAAAGAAGTTTATTCTGTAGTGTTTTATTTTAACTGGAGGATTCACTGATTTGCTTCGCGTGGCAGAGCACGTTCATAACAAAGCCAAGATTTCGACTCACCTCTCCTATACCTTTCCTCTATTCTCTTTGAGCAATTCCATCCCCAAAATCTCACCTTAATCAAAGCTCGTTATTTTTGGTCTCTTCTCACCTGTCCCTGCCCACCACAAACACTCTGCACCTGCTGCAGCCCCGCTCTGAATGAGTCACTGCCCTATAAAACCCTGTGTGTGGTGCTGAGGCCTCGTGGTGCCTCTGACACCAGGCTCGGGGGAAGCAGGAGGAAGCTTAGCTGGTCTATTTTTGTGATTTTTGGAGTCAAGGTATGAATTGCTGAGCTGCTCTTTGACAAAGTGAGTTATGTGTGAGCCAGGACCTGACAGTGTAAAGGTTTTCTTTTCCTGTTGTTAGTTAGGGGGTTTCTGGCTGGGGACAAAAACAGGTGGGAGGAGGAAAACACAAGTAAAATTGTTTACTTTTCTTTCTCCTTGGCCAAATAGGTGCTTAGAATAAAGCAACAACAACAAAGGAAACTGAATTAAGCTTTCCTAATACACATGTGGGATGTTATTTAAGAAGACTTTCTCCTGTGCAGAGGGAGTGTTGGGGGAAGGTGACCTCTGCAGCCGAAAACACTGTAGAAGAATCTCTAATAGATGGAAAACTACTAAGGGTGCTGCAGGCCTTGTATTCACAGCTCCTTGCAAGCAAAGAGAAGGGGGAACCCGCCGGGTCAGGCTGCGAGGAAGAGTTGGATGCGGGGTGGAAGGGGGGGGGCTGAGGACTTGGATGCTCCAAAGTCAATGGAAAAGTAAACGGAAAACCGGGCTGCGGGCGGCCTCCCACGGGTGCTGCGGGCCGTGGGGGAGCACGGAGCCCACCGTGGGCAGGCGGGGGCCGGCGGTCGGGCGGGGCGGACCAGCCCAGCACAGCCCCCGACACCGCCCGCCGGGTGGGCCGGGCTCCGCTCCGCCCGTGCGGCCGCGGGGCTGGGGCAGCGGCGCCGAGGAACCGCCGGGACCCAGGTGAGGCCGGGACACGCACACACACCCCCCGCACACAACCAGCATCCCACCCCCGGGGCGGCTTCACCCCGTGTTCGCTCGTTTTTTTAAAATTGGTTTTTATCGTTTCCCGGTGATGCTCGGCTGCCCGCGGGGCAGCGCATCCTCGGCGCGGCTCTTTGTTCCCGGCGAGCGGCTGGTCCCTGCAGCCCCGGGGGATGGGAATGGGGGGGTTGAAAGGGAGAGCGGGAGCCGGGGGGGGTGGCGGCGTCCTGCCGGGATGGGGGTCCCGGTGGGCTCCCTCGGAAAATCCTTGGGTGTGTGTTTTCTCCCCAGGGTGGTTTAGGGGTGACCGCTGCTGTCCCTCCGTCCTGCTGCGGGCCTGGGCTGGAGGGATCCCGGGGCGGTTGTTCCCCCTGGATCTCTTGCTGTGTAGGGAAAGGATGCACTTCTGGGGCTGTAAACTCACCTGGAAATGTGGCTGAGGAGGACGGGGAGATGGATCTGTGCCCCGCAAGCAGGCGTGCTGGGTGTCATGGAGGCTTGAGCCAGCCCTGATCCCACTCCCTGGATCCCACGCAGGTCCTACCCAAGCTAAAAGGGCCTGACAGGGTGTATTTAGTCTGCTCTTAAACCTTCACCTGCAGAGACTCACGACCCTCCAGCTCTCCTGTGAGGTGTTGCTGTCTCTGTTTAGATGAGGCACTGAAATTCTGGAGTGTTTCTTGCTGATTGGAGTCTTGAGTGTTATCCCTCTGCTCCCAGGCAGGCTGGAGAGCAGCGTTTCCATCCTGCTGCTGAAAATCACTGCACCCTTTGGCCTCATTCTTAAGCCCCCCTTCCTCCTCCCAGTCTTAATCCCTCAGGAATTTGGTAGACCTTCGACTTCTGTGGTGCCGGGGACCTGGCACGGGTCAGAAGGCACGGAGAACTATGCAGCTTTTACTTACAAATCCGAGGAGGGATTTCCATAGGTGGTCTATGTGCTGCTCTGAACAAAGCGAGGGATCGGCTTTGTGGTTGGGGGAATAATGCCTAAAACATGTCATGTCTCTGGCTCCACAAAGAACTACTGCTGGAATGCCGAGGCTGGAAGTGGAGGTGATGTATTATGTATTAAGGTGCCTCACTAGGACTGGTGGGAAGCTGGTCTTACAGAATATTAATATCTTATTTGTTTGCTTGTAAGGATCAGCCCTCAAGGGTAGGGGAGGATGTGCCCCTGTGATGTGTGCTTGTCTTGACATAATTTTTCTCGCCTGACTTTGTGTTGCTGTAGAGTTGTGTCACTGCTGGGATTTCGCTGAGCTCTTGCAGGTGCCTTATTTGGTGGAGTCTGTTTATCTAAAGTAGGCGCTGCGAGAGCATCAGCTCTCCCAATTCACTCGGTTGAACTGGGCAAGGACACAATGCAGGATGAAATGAAGGCATTTTTCCGGGCTTGTGTGCGAAAGTAGGAGTTGGAGCTCTGCAGTGTATTATCTGCTGGCTTTTGTATTCAGCACAAGTAATGAGGCTTGGATTGCATACATTAGCACTGGGTAACGTTGCATTGATGGCTGGCAGTTGCTGGAGTTGTACGTTTTGGCTGAATCTTCACATGAAAAGATTTGCGGCGTTTTTTTGTCCAGTTCCCTTGTGGACTGTCAGGTGAATTGTGGAGCTGAGCACACCCAGGCAGAGCTGGCACCAAGCTCGTGCTTGGAGGTGTGAGAAGCTCTGTTCCAAGGCAAGACAGGGATTTGTCTGGGGCTGACCTGTTCATCTCCTGCACTCTCTGCTTTATGATGCATGCAGCCACTTCACCTTCCCAGTGTGAGTGTGGGAAAGGGATTGCTGGAATAGGGCTATAATTCAGTGAGTTAAAAACTTGATGCCTTTTTTTTTTTCCTTCTGTTTCAACAATTCAGTGGAAAACACAGCCAAAACTTGCCAAAGGCAGAAAATAACAGCAAATGGGATTTTTTTTGGGAGGGGGGGTTTAGTTAAGTAGACTCTACAGGGTGAAAGTCTAAAAAGCCCTCTGAGGGAGTAGCTACGCACAACTGGGACAGAGGGGGAGAGTTTAATCCTCTGCAGCGTGTGCCCAAAAACCACTGGTCCTTGCTAGGAGCAGTTATTGAAGGAGAGACATCTACTCTGTGCTGGTCCCATGCAAACCTGCGCTGTTGGAGTGACCATAACAGGCTGGGGTTCCTTCTGAGCTGGCTTTTGTGTGGCTCCCCAAGAGCTGACCTCGGACAGGTCTCTAGAATTCACAGAGGGGTTGATGATTTAATAAGTAGTGCAAGTGCTAATTGTGTGGAGCAGGGAAGCAGCCTGGTTCAGAAAGATCCAACTGAGTGTGCAGGGCTGCTTCAGCTGGTGACCAATTTATATTTATTGTCCCTCAGCTTCCTGACTTGCCCGCAGTAGTAAATAGTTCTTATTTCGTTTCTGATGGAGTTTTGGCCCCTGTTTCTGGCCTGGCAGTCCTTTGTGTTTCTTTCCAGCCTACCAGGTGTTAAAAGAAAACTTATTATTTTCCCTGCTAAAGATAAAGCTCCCTGGCTGCCTGCAGTCGTGCTGCCTTTGCGGCTGGGGGAACTGCATCCCCTGGGATTTGTTGTTATTAAGTGCAGGGGAAGTAGCTGGCACTGCCTCTCGCCCTCAGTGTGTGCTTCCTATTGGAAGCAAGGATTAGTTTTCCACTGAAAGCTTGGCAGCTGCCCTCCAGGGCTTGTGCTCGTGGGATGCCAGGTGAAATCTGGGGACAAGGAGTTCCTGCGGCTTGAATTATTGAGTTACCAGCTCCAGGCTGGTAACAAAAAAGTTTAAGCTTAGTATAGAGGGGGTGCTTGGTCAGGGCAGTGTGCTCCAGCCTGCTTTTAGTGCTTGGCTAAGGCTGGAGAGCAGGCTGACTATAAAAATAGCCAGATGGGAGGATAAATGTATAACTCAATGATGCCTGAGTAACAAAGTGCTCTGCAGCCAGATACCTGCTGGAGCCTGCATTGAGTGGAAGTGCTGCAGCAAGGTGTCAAACTCTGCTTAAGGAGATAGCCAGGTCACTGCTGTTCATACACTGCCTAATCCAGCCTCTTCCTAAAGCTAAGTAGATCTTAAGCTCTGACTAATCTTCTTTGAAGTGTGAACCTGTGCCATTATCCTGCAGCAAGCTCCGTGCCACTATCTCCTGCTTTCGCTGAATGTAGAGGTTTAAGTTAGCTTAGATCTACTTGTTGTGGATTTCCAGAGCAAATAACTCTCCAATATTATTTCTTTTTGCCCCATAGAAATGTAGGATTATGGCCAAAAGTGCTTTTCAGACTGAGAGATACAATATGAGGCTGCCCAAAGGACTCCAGGAATTATTGTGTCAGGCTGGTACTGACTGCCCACATATCTACTAGCCAGAAGGAGGAATGGCTCTTAACAGGGTTCTTTACATTTTAATTAATGGATGTCTAAAAGCCAGTGGTTTAGGGAGCAGCTTTCCCTCTTATCCATGACACTTCTGATTCTAGTAAAGATGGAGTGAGCTTGTTGAGAAGAGATTAATATTTCAGTTCTTCCGCTAACCACCTCCTGAATGTCTTGGGCTGTTGGAAAACCTGGAGCTGCAAACCTACTAATTATCTATCCAGATGTGTATATACATATGCATAATGTGTCTGACTGCAAGAGAAATGCTATGGCTGTTTTTCAAGTGCAGCTGGAGTTCTGTTTAGGTTTAACCACTGCTGAAAGCATTTGTGCAGCCTGAAGACTCCTGACTTCTTGAGAAACTGTATTTAGAGCCAAACTCTTTTTGAAATAGAAAAAAACCCCAACTTCTTGATGTTTCAATATGTCTGATCTTAACAGGCATTTGCTAAAGATGTGTGAGGTGAACATGATTTATATTCAGCAGCATGGCAAGGCAGATGCCTGTAGTTGGGCCCTAACAGTTTAACTTGCATAATATACTCTTAGTGCTTTTTAATTACAAAATCTATAAAGAATTAGTGTGAAAGAAGAGCTAAATATTGTCAGTTTTCAACTATTTTTGGCAGGAAGGATAGAGGAGATAGATGGGTGGCCACCCATCTTTCAGAGGAAGAAGATGCTAAAAATAAAGTGGAAGGTGTCTACGCTGGTAAACAGCTTTGGTGGCTTCTGCTTGTCCCTGAGCACCTGGTGCATGTGTGTGGCCTGGGATGGAGAATTAGTCCAGCAGCTCAAAATGCTGGGCCAGGGCTGCAGGGAGAGTGGAAAAAGTGACTCAGTGTGCCCTGAGGGCTCAGCCAGATGCTGGAGCCTGCAGTGGTTGACTCTGAGCTGTGTTGCTGCACTCTGTGTGTGCAAATGCAAGTGATACTTGTCTACAAGCTGTTTGGAGGGGGAAGTGAGGAGTGTGGCAAGCTGGGGAACCCATCCTGGTGCCCTTGAGCAGGACTGCACAGGGTAATCTTGGGTCTTCTTTGGAAGGCTGAGAGGTGACTGACAACCCCAGCAACTTTCCCGAATAATATTTGTTATTCCTGCAGTTTGCTTGTGAGTCATAAAATCATCTTATTCCATGGGCAGGGACACCTTCCACTAGACCAGGTTGCTCCAAGCCCCATCCAACCTGGCCTTGGACACTTCCAGGGATGGGGCAGCCACAGCTTCTCTGGGCAACCTGTGCCAGGGCCTCACCACCCTCCCCTCACAGGCAAGGACTTATTTCTAATGTTTAATCTAAATCTGCCCTCCTTCAGCTTAAGGTCATTCCCCCTTGTCCAAAGTCCCTCTCCAGCTCTCCTGGAGCCCCTTTAAGCACCAGAAGGTGCTCTAAGGTTTCCCCAGAGCCTTCTCTTCTACAGCCTGTCTCCATAGGAGAGATGCTCCAGCTCTGTGATCAACTTAATGGCTCTTCTCTGGGCTCATTCTGACAGGTCAATGTTCCTCATGTTGGGGCCCCCAGATTTGGATGCAGGACTGGAAGAATGTACTAGAGAAAGCAAGGGAAGCTGTTGATGGTTGGAGGCTTCCTGCAGTAAAGCTTAACTCTACTATTGACAAGCTGCCTCCAGGAGCTGGAAGGAAGAGTAGGGACCACACCAGCTCTGCTGTGTGCTGGAGAGCTGTCTGCTGTGTGCCTGAGACTGGTGTGACCAGCTGTCCTGCGTGGGATGAGTGGGACCGTGGCTGGGATGGTCTCTGCTGTGGGGTGGGGGTGCAGCAAGCCCAGGACTGAGGGACACCTGCCTGAGGGAGGTGTCAGGGAGCAGGCCTGGTCTGTCTGTCCTGCTGCTGGAGCTGTGTGAGTGGAGGCAGCAGAGCCTGCCAAGAGCAGGCTGTCAGCTGGCTGGATCACTGCTGGGATCCTGGTTCAGTGCTCTCCTGGAAACTCTTGACTTGCACAGTGATTATAGACATGAAACTTTCTGGAAGTGCCTCCATGGTGCAGTGCAGCACAGGCACTGTGCTAATGCAGCAGTGCTGCTGTTCTGGGCTGTGGTTTCCTCTGTGGGGCCAAGGGCCTCAGACAGGACCTGGCACTGGTGCAGCCCTCAAGCCTCTTGTGGTGGCTCCGGTCCTGAGTCGTGCTTTACAGACCCATCTTGTTCTCTGTGCAAGTTCCTTGGTTTCCTCCTGTGTCAGGGCCATAACAAGCCTGGGACTTCATGGCCCTGACAAGCATAATTTTTGGACTTGAGAAAGGACACACAGGTTGGTCCTCACCATTGCTTACAAGTCTGATGCCTGCTGGGTGGAGCATAGCACTCTGCTGCTGGGATGAGAGCTGGGCAAGGTCTGTCTTGGGCTTCAGATCAAGGTTTGGTTTTGCCTGTCATCTTCAGATAGAGTAGACTAAGAATCATAAAACAGATGGAGGAACTAATTGCTTGGAATATATAGGAGGTATCTGCTCACAACTGGCCAAATCTTGATGCTTCTCAGCCAGTTATTTAAGGCCCTGGGTCAGTGGATGGTTATGTGAGTATATGTAATCTTGGTTTCCTTTTGCCTTTCCAGGCCTTGCACTCTGGATTTGTCAGCCTTGCAGGCTTCTGGACACATCTCTTCTCAGCCATGGGGAGATCAGTAGGATTTAATGTCTGTGTGGTCACCTGCAGCATCCTGCTCTTGCCCTCCATCCTGCCGTGCCTTGCATCTCAGCCCCTGGAGGAGGGGGACACGACCAAGGTCCAGCATGGCCCCTGGGCAGGGAATGGGCTGGAAGATGAAAGGACTGGCATGGTGGACTTGAAAAATACCTTGGGCCCTTCTGAGCAGACAGTTTCTGAAGAGCCATGTGGAGTGTCAGCAGAGCCGTCTGGGACACCCTTGAATGAAGCTTTCACTGCAGAAGAAGTGCTCCCTGTGAGCCCCAGCCATGTCAGCCCCAGCACCCAGGGCCTGGGTGACCACACCTCTGCTGGGGCAGTGGCTGCTGTGAGTGGGGAGGAGATTGGTCCCACGAAGTCAGAGCTGGATGAGGATGATGCCCTCAAGGCCATGCTGACCACAGCTGTGACCACACTGAGCCCCCCTGGCCAGGAGGAGTCTGTGGGTGGCCCCATCAGCGAGGTCACCACAGAAGGTGGTGTGGCAGAAGAGCACAGCTCTGGCAGCCCCTCAGCAAACCCCCCCCTTCCTGGGACAACTGTGGAGGAGCAGGAGGGGGCAGAGAGCAGCTCACACCCCTCAGCTGTGCCCCAGCCCACGCTGACCCCCAGCTCTCCCAGCTGGGAACCAGCGAGTGACCACCCTGTTATCCCAACTCCCCAGGCTCCTGGTGTGACCCCTGAGGTGGGAATGCTGAGACCCCACACAGGGAGCCCTCTGAAATCCCTGGCTCCACCAGTGTCTGTGGCTGCCGAACGTCCCCTCGCGGTGACCGAGGCCTCCCTTCCCCCAGAAGCAGGGACAGGGGTCACACAAGAAGAGCTGCCCACCACAGCTGGCACTGCCACCATCCACCCTGCTGACACTGTGCCACCTGACTGGGATGACACAAAGCTGGGGGACATCAGTCAAGGGGGAAGCACGTCTCATGAGGAGGTGACAGAGGACCTGGGGATGACAAAACCATCCCAGACCCCACAGGGAGGTGTGGGGGAGGAAGAGGACGCAACAAGGGCACTGCCATCCCCAGTGTCCCCTCCACCAGAGCCTGAGCTTGCCGAGGAGACCAACTGCACAGTGCCAGCGCAGGGAGAGGAGCTGCCAGCAACTTCCACAGGCAGCAGTGGTGCTTCCCACACTGGGAATGTGACGTATGGAGACACGGCTGATCTGGACTCGCTGGAAAACGCAAGTGCAGTCACAGCAGAGGAGGAGAAAAGCATTCTGCCATCACAGTCAGAGGCTGCTGTGGGGACAGAGACACAGCCTGAGCTCTCCCCTACTCTGGAAAGCTCATGGGAAGGTAAAACTTGCTTGTTACAGACACTTGCCTATAAGTGTAGGTTTAGGAGGGGTGCTCTTGGGAATCTGTGCTTCCTTTCAGGGAATTAGAGTGGGAAAAGGTGTGACCTTGATACCTGCAATAGAGAGGGTGTATCTTTCCCCTCAGGAAAGGCTGTGGGGCTTTGTGTGGAGGTAAGAGCCTAAATGGGTAGCTCCCATCCATAATATACTGCAGAACCTTGGCTGTTTCTGTACAGGATTCCCTGTGCAGTTGGGTGGTCCCCTGTCCTGGCTGTGAGTGAAGCAGCTGAGTTGAGCTGCTCCTTCTCGTCCTCAGACTGGGAGGGTGGTTGTAGGAACAAATAGGAAAGCTGAGACTGGAAAGGCTGTGGCAGCTGAGCCTGGGGCTGAGGGACATGGAGCACTTGGGTATGAACTGCAGAGCTGGAATCTCATCAGTGGAGACTTGCTAATTGAAAAACTTCCTTTGTTAACGTTCTTTGGTTTTGGTGCTTGAGTGGGGACAGCTGTAGTCTGGTTGTAGGCATCTTGCCTTGACTAGAGGTAGGTAAATTGTCACTGAATACCCCTCTGTTTCTGCCCCTTCTGTGGGTAGGGAGGGACCCCAGCCTCTGGCCCACTGGTAAAACACTTTATTTCAGGGGAGAAAACACTCCCCCAAGAATCCCTTTGATAGGAACCAAAGTACCCTTGCACTAGCTTACGCTGGAGCTCTGCAAATAATTCCTGGGGGGTTAAATTAATTGGCATCTGGGATCACTTGGGTCTCACTTGCAGTCAGTGCAGAAGATGCAGAGACAATGGATGGCTGTAAATGCTTCCTAAATCCAGGAATAAGTGAGTTGTACCAGTAGCCTCAGAGTACCTGACATCTTAAATGACTTTACAATAACACTCTATTTAGAGGCCTGTCCAGAGAGCTGCTGTCCTGTATAACAGAAGCTCCTGGTGTTGTCTCCCCACCCTGGAGTGAAGCTGTGGCCAGGCTCTGGCTGCCCAGTGCTTGTGCCAACTCTGTCACCAGGCAGGATTCTTCCTCCTGGACAACCTTCTGGAGGCCACCCTGTCCTGCATGGACCTGCAGAGGTGGCACCTTCAGCCTCGTGACAGTGTTTCTGCTCAATACCTAAAATATAAAGGAAAAGGTTTAAAATACAGGGAAATGCTAAAAAAAAAAGTCTGAGGTGTTGGGCAGTCAGATCATTCTAGGCTGGTGAGGGAACATGAGCTGGGGCTTAGGACTTCTTAATAGCTGGGCATCTTTAATCTTTCCTCCCAGGCTACAGAGGCAGAAGGACTGTTTCCCTTTACTGCATCCAAAAGACCTAGTTTTTGCTGTAAAAGAAGAAAGGCTAATTGCAGCCTGGTGCTGAAACCTGACTGATTAATTTCTAGATTAATTTGTAAGCACTTGACCTGTCAGCAGGTTCCATCTCTGCTGCTTCCCAGATGATGGGAAAACAACACTGTCTGTCAATAAGACTTGTGCAACAAAAATAAACGCTTCTGCAAGGCTCAAGTCTCAGAGCTGTGAGGGCTGGTCACTCAAAGCCACCCTGATGATACTTGGCTGGACCTGCTTCTGTCACTGTGGCCCTGGAATTGTTAATCATTGGAGTTATATTCCTTCAGATGTGTCCTCTGTTGCTGTTACATGTCCTGTGAGTTGGTCCTGACGCATGTTCTTGCTGTAGGTGTTGCTCAGGAGGTGACAACAGTTGCCCAGGAGGCTGATGCTGGTCTGTCAGTTGTGGCAGTGGTGCCTGGTGCTACCCAGGGAGCAGGAGCTGCGAGCTTTCCCCAGGAGAACAGTGGGGAAGACACCCAGATGCTGACTGCTCCCAGTGCCACCGAGGTGCTGGTGGCAACTGGTGCTTCCTCCGCGGTGAACACTCTGGATGTTGAAGGTAAGATTCTGCTTCAAGGACTCATTTCCACGTGAGGTGGGATGGGACATCTGAAATTAGTATCAGCATCCTTATTCTAAGTGACTTTTTTTTACTCTGACCTTCTGCAGGCCTCCTCTAGCCCTGGGCTGCCACTGCTCTCTGCCCATGCTGTGAGATCCACCACTTTGATATTTGCCAGCGTGGGGTTTTTTTTTTGCCCCAATTAAGTGGAGGCAATTAAAAGAAATTGCCCCTAACCATACAAAACCCCCCTGTCTATCCTTGCTAGCAAGCTGCCTTTTAGCTTTAGACACTTAAGCCATTTTTTATTTATGGAGGGGGAGCTCTTACTTCTGGATCCCAAGGCAGTCACAGACTGCTGGTGCTCAGTCCAAAGGATGAAAATGTTTCATCAGGGTAACACAGGAGCAGTGGTGGTGGTGGTGGGGAAAGACACCTTCTTGGAGTCTGGCAAGCCCTTGGGTGTGGAAGCCTGCATTGATATTCCCTTCTGTTGAGGAGTGGTGAGTTCTTGTCAAGTTGTAGCTCATACAGGAATGTTTTGGGCAGTCATGTTCATCAGGCTGCTGCCTGCTGGCTCCATGTCACCCTGGCAGGTACATGGAGGAGCCTGTTTTCCTGACAGGAGTGTAACAAGGGATCCCTCAGCACAAGGCTGGCTCCGGGCTGGAGTGTGCTTCTGTAGCAGTAGGGACCACTGTAATGAAACTGCTGCTGGGCAGCTCTTATATTGCAGGGCCTTGAAAGGGAAAAAAACCACCTTTCTGCATTGTATCTCTTAATTTAAGGTCCCTTTGTGGGAGGGAGAAGGTTCTTCTGGCAGTTTCCACTAATTAATTTGCTTCTGGGATTTAATTAGAGATTCAACTGACTTTTATCTTTGCGATAAACAATTAGATCTCTCACTTGGTTGAGATATCAACTGGTGTCCTCAAAGCGATGGAATTAAAACTTTCTTTGAGTGTTCCCACCCTTGTTAAGGGGAACCTCCTGTGCTGACTGTTCTTGAGGAGAAAGTTTCATTACAGCAGAGCCACATCTTGAAGGAAGCAAAAGCTTAATAACTTCCAGTCAGAGTTAAGTTTTCATTAAGGAGTTTGTTCTTAAATGGTAGGTTTTTAAGTATTGTTGCTATTTCCTGTCTTCTGTAGATCTCACGGATGGGATCCTGGTCACCAGTGCGAAGGCTGTCCCAGCTCCTGGTGGGATGCCTTCTACCCCATCTGGACAGACAGAGGAACCATCCAGCAGAACTGTGGTCCTGGTCACTCCAGCATCCATGGCCTCTTCTGCCAGGAGAACAGCCCTTCCCTCTGTGCGGAGGATCAGCACGGCTGTGACCTACGGGCTGGACCGCCTGGAGTCGGAAGGTACCCCCGAGGAAAAGGGTCAGGCAGCTGCCTGTGGAGGGGCTCCCCTGCCCTGACACCGAGCCCCCAATTTGTCTGCTTGGCACACTGCCACGTGCACGTCTAATTGTGCCCAATAAAGTTGTTGAACAGCCTGTCCTCTCCCGGGGGGCACAGGAAGCAAGCAGTGAACAGTGTCATGGAGGATGCCTGGAATTCCAGTGGCTGTGGTGGGAGGGATGGGGTTTTCCCTTGGATAGGGAACAGCAGTGCTATTGCTGTTGCAGTAGAATCTGGCTCTGCACACCTGTAATGCTGGTGTGTGCATCCACTGCAGAGCCTCTGGACCAGGTAACACCCACCCAGAGATGCTGAGGTGAAGTAGATGCTGCTCTGGAGCTGCTCTGCAGCTCTGATCTGGTACCAGTTCAGCTCACCCACAATTTTCCTGCAGAGAATCGTTTCTTGCTCTTTCTCCTACTTGAACTCCTCTCTGCTTGCTCATCCATCCAGTTTTGTACTCCAGTGTCTGGACTGATACCACCTGGCAGGAATTAATCTTTCTGCCTGTGTCTGCTCCCCTTCCTTTATCTTGACCTTCTCTTGCCTTAGTATTTTACTGCAAAGGTTGGCAGCCCTCCAGGGGTGGCACTGCCAGATGGTATTTCTCCTCTGAGTAGAGGTGGGGTGCCATAGACAACAGCTCATCAGCATCTTTCCTCTGCAGGAAGCAATAACTCTCACTCCTGTTAAGTTTGGAGGGCAGCAGAAGCTGGGAGTCCTCCCCACTGCCTTTGCAAGGTGCTTGCTGCCTGCTTTGAAGCCTGCCCTGAGCTTTCTGTGACTCCAACTGCAGCACTTTTCCCTTGCCAGGATGAATCTTGCGTGTATCTGGCAAGGCAAGGATGTGGTGCTGATGGGAGAGTGGCAGCAGGGGAAGGAAGGGTGTGTGTGTGGGGAAAACCTGATCTTTCAGGCTCTGTTTAGCAAGGGCAGTATGAATCAGGAGGCTAAAATGTTTTATAGCCCTCTGGGATCTCCTTTAGAAGCCTGGGTTTCTGCAGGGGAAGATAAGAGGGATTTCTGTTTCAGCTGAGCATTGGTCTCTCTCTATTTAATGAGACTTTCTGCACAGGCATTTAAAAAAATCTTTCTGCTCCAATATAGGACTGATGCAACTTTCTCGGATTCCTTCTGGGTTCCTCTAAAGGCAAATGTGGGCTGTAGCTGGAACCAGCTCTCCTAGATGATGATTCAATTGGAAGGCTGTGGGTTTCTTGGCTCTGGGGTCTGGCTCTGCAGGGGCCTGTCAGCCAAGGGACATGGTGCTCTCTGTGCTGTGGGGATTTGGCAGCTGGCACAGCTTTTGTGGTCTAAATCTCTTCTGCTCAACCTAGACCTTGGTGCAGTGAGCCAGAATTTTCCCTGGTGCTGGGGATCACCAATCCACATCCTGTAAAATGGAACAATTACCACTTGGGGAAAAGCTTTCTGCCTGGGGATCCTGCTGCCCCCATTAAGTATGAAGAGGAGGATTTTTTTTTTTTTGAGCTGCAACTCTGCTTTCTCACACCTCTTTGTATAATGGCAGTGAGGGGGTGCCACATCCTCGTGTTGGAGTGGCATTTGGAAGCATGGTTCCCAAAATTACAGTTCCTAGTGTTTGCCCTCAGAATATCCAAATGCTGCCAGATCCAAGATGTTTGGGAGTGCATTCCTGTAAAGCTGCACTGAGCTCCAGCCCAGGGTGCTCAGGCTTTTGGGGGATGCTGTTCCAGGCCTGTGCTTGGGTCCCTAATGAGGGATCTTGGCCCTCTTGGGAGAGGCTGTGCCTTGCTCACTGTTGGAAGAAGTGCAAGGAGCTGAGTGAGCTCTGCTGCCTTCAGTGGGGTCTTGCTGACTTGCCTCACTGAGGGCCTGGCTCATCATTAAATGTGACCCCCTGCTGCTCTGTTTCTTGGGGACCATCTGTGCCAAACTGCCTGGGGTTTAATTGCATCAGTGTATTCACCTGCCTGGCTTGGATGCAAAACTGTTTTAAAAATCAAATTACACAGGCAGGTTGAGATGCTTTGAAAATATGTCTGGATGAACTTCTCCTCCTCTCCAGTGGACTCTGGAGAGATGAGCTGGTTAACAAACATCCTCCTGCCTTGACTCTGTGGTGAGACTGGTTCTACTTGCCCTTCCTAGGCAGAGAAATCCTATAAAGGGATTACAGGATATGGGGACAGGACACAGCAGAGGATAAGGCTTTACTTGTCTGGGAGAACTGATTATGTATTTTATTTCTGTGCCTAGAATTTGTATGTCTCTCTAACAAGTTGAGCACTGCAGCTTTCTCTGTAGGGCTTCTTGGGTCCAAAGAGAGCTGCTGCTTCAACTTGCCTACTCAGGACTGGCGTGTAAACTTCCCAACACACTTTGGAAAGAGACCATATTCCTTTTGGACTTGATTCCTCTGCTGTAGGTGTTGGCAGAGGTGGCTGCACACCCTCAGCATGGCAGCACTGGGCTGGTATAACTCTCTGAAGAGGCAGGTCACCTGCTGTGTTCCCTCTTCTGCAACATCCTTGCAGTTTTTAGTTGAAACCTTATGGATAGAGCACAACAGAACCCGGCTCCTTTCAGCTGGTGCTCAAGTAGCTCCTGTCACTGTTCCACGTGGGATATGAGCCAGGGATGAGCTGAGGCTCAGCAGGGTGGTTAACACATTCTCCATGACAGCCTTGAGGGCCTTGTTATCCTCGAGTGCTGATCTTAAACCAGCAGTTAACTTTAACCAGGCAGCTGCCAAGGGTTATGGATCACTCACCCATCACAGCTGGGATCACAGCACCGCTGTGGGGCCTGTTGCTGAGGGTGGGTCTCTCAGTCTGCGCTGGCAGATAAGGCTTGGTGCTCTTGTGAGCCACCACGCTGCCTGACAGCAAAGAATCGTGGAGTCACAGAATGGCTTGGGTTGGAAGGGGACCTTAAAAAAACACCTTGTTCCAACCCCCCTGCCGTGGGCAGGGACACTTTCCCCTAGACACTTCCAGGGATGGCACATCTTTAAGCTGCTGCCGGAGGTGAGCTTCTTGCACAGTTCTGGTGTCGGGTGGGCTGCTGGGTGTGGAGGGTGCTTAGAGAGCTTTGAAAGAAGCAGGAGATGCTCTGCCTCTCTTATGGTGTCGGGAACAGTCAGTAACTGAATCTGGGAAACTTAAATTCAGTTACTCTAGAGGAGGAGATTTAACCACATAGCTCTTGAATGTGGAGTGTTTCCAGTCAATCAGGCTGGCTCTCAGCAGGCAGCCGGCAGAGTTTGGAGTTTCATGTGCATTTACAGCCCACTGTGAACTATTTTGTGTATCACAGAACAGTTTAGGTTGGAAAATTCCTCCAAGATCATGGAGCCTGACCTCTGACCCAGCATCACCATGTCAACTAGACCAGAGCACAAAGGCCACACGCAGCTGTTTCTTGAACACCTCCAGGGACAGTCACTCCAGCAGCTCCTTGGGCATCCTGTTCCAGTGCTTGGCCACCCTTTCAGTGAAGAAATTCTTCCTGATCTCCAGCCTAACCCTAATCTTTAGGATAGAGCGGTTGAAAGGACAGTGTCAGATGTGCACCTGATGCAGCATTTGGCTGTGGAGAAGCCCCTCAGTGATGCTGGGACACGGCTGGCACTGCCCTGGGGATCAGAAATCCAGTGTCCTGCAGTTATGGGGCACCTCTTCTCTGACCCTTGGCTGTGTTGGCTTCTGCTGTGCTAAAGGCTGTTCCAGAGCAGTGCCAGGGTGAAGCTTTAGACTTTGACCTTGACATTTTCATGAGATTTTAAAAATATCCTCTTGTCTTTGGGTTTTAACAGTTCTTATCGCTCTTTGCTGACCTGTGTACTCAAGTTAACCCTTCCAAGGAAGCTGTAGCTTAGCCAGTTCTGGTAAAAAGAGTTCTCCTAGTCCTTTTCTCCACTCTCTGCCTCTTTCCCCTGCTTCCCCTGCACCTTGTTCTTCTCATACCCAGTCATCTGAGCTGTGTTGTACTTCAGAAGTGAAGACAGTGGTTGCCATTTTTCAGAAAGTATTTCAGAGCTTGTAGCCATTTACATAAATTTATGAAAGATCCTTCAAATCCCCCTTACATTTTTCTTCTGAGCTGTGTCACAGTAAAAGGAACCTTCTTTTTTTTTTTTTTTTTGATAGGAAGAGTGTTTTTGCTGGAAGTTGAGGCTCTGAAGGGGACTGTTATTTGGACCCTGACTGTATGGATTAAGATCTGCCTCATTAAATCTCTGCAACCCTGTTAAAAATTTAAATCAGGATGCAGAGGTGTAAATAAAACAGGCACTTAACCCAGCATGGTTAACTAGCCTGATATTATAATTTCTCACCAGCTCTTTGGATATCAGCTAAATTGGCAGGGAATGGAAGATTTAAAACAAAGCACGTGCAGCATGAATTATTAAATGTTTTTGGTACACGCTTTTGTCTTGCCTCTTGTTTATTGCTACTACTGAAGTAGGAACTGCTCTCTCTCTCTGGTGCAAGTTGACCTCTGTCTTCCTCACAGTAGGTGGTGGTTCATCCCTCGTTCTCCTTTGTAGCAGAAAATGGTAAAAAAAAAAAAGTGTGACAATTCAAATCTAAGCTGTTCTTTGTTTCTTTCTTCTCTTGTGAATGTTTGACCAAAGATGACATCTCTGCTGCTAAAGGTGGTGGTGACTTGTTTTGTTTTCTGAAATCCCTCTGAGAGCTGAGGAGGGAGGGGTGTGGAGGGTGATCAGGCCCTTAATGAGTTGGGAGCTGGGGGGTGAGCAGCTAAGAGGGTGTTGGGCTAATTAAAGGCTCACAGGGAAGAAGAGGAGGGAGGGAACTCCAGCTGTGTGCAGCTGCTGTGCTGGGCTCAGCCTTAGCAGTGGGCTGAGCACGGTCACCCTGCTCTGCCTCAGAGGCCCTGGCACCTCTAATGAAACCCAAACCATGGGATCACTCAGGGCCTGACTGTGCCAAGTGATGCTCTCAAGGGCTTTA